GAGAGGGAGAGGGAGAGACCCAGAGTCACACATGGGATGTAGAAAGACAATGTGGACAGATGTAAGGTAAAAGGGGGATGACACCCTGACGAACAGGACATGCCCACAGAGGCATTTAATAAATGTTTATTAGATTATTAAGTGAATGAGTTTTTAAAAATATATTTTATTGATTTTTTTACAGAGAGGAAGGGAGAGGGATAGAGAGTTAGAAACATCGATAAGAGAGAAACATCGATCAGCTGCCTTCTGCACGCCCCCTAACTGGGGATGTGCCCACAACCAAGGTACATGCCCTTGACCGGAATCGAACCTGGGACCCTTCAGTCCATAGGCCAATGCTCTATCCACTGAGCCAAACCAGTTAGGGATAAATGAATGAATTTTAAAAACTGGATGAGATAGAGACACAGGCAGACAACCAGAGGGACACACTGTCCCCCAAGGATACAGACAGACCCATGTGGACATCAGACATAGGGCCGATGGGACATGTAGGTGGGTGTCCCTGCAGGCAGTCGGAGCTGGGGCCCCTTCTTCCCGCTTGGAGGAGCTGCCTGCAGGCTTCACATCTGTGCTGTGCAGGGCGGGCACCAGGCACGTGCAGAGACCTAGGGTCACGGGCCCACGGGTGGATGGGACAGAGCTGACATAATGGCGGTGACCAGGACAGCCTTACCCGTCCCCCGAGCTTGACTACAGTTTACACAGGTTTCTTCCTGACTGTGTACAGGCCCCTGACCTTCCTTAGAGCATTTACTTCAGAAAACTTGTCATGTCAAATTCTTTGTCTGTCCCTTTGAAATGTAGGTAAATCTCCTCCCAGCCTCTTTTTTTAAAAAAATTTAAATTCTATATTATTTAAAGTATTACACAAGTCTCCCCCCCCCACCCCACACTGACCTCACCCTGGCCACCCCTAACCCCAGCACATACCCTCACCCCTCACTCCCACTGTGTCCATTCGTTATGCTCATATGCATGCATACAAGTCCTTTGGTTGATCTCTTACCCCCTCACCGCCATCCCCACCCCCCCGCCTGCCTTCCCTCATAGATTGGACAGTCTGTTCGATGCTTCTATGGCTCTGGTTCTGTTTTTGTTTATCAGTTTATGTTGTTCATTATATTCCACAAATCAGTGAGATCATGAGATATTTATCTTTCATTGACTGGCTTATTTCACTTAGCATAATGCTCTCCAGGTCCATCCATGCTGTTGCAAATGGTAAGAGTTCCTTCTTTTTTATAGCGGCTTAGTATTCCATTGTGTAGATGTACCACAGTTTTCTAATCCACTCATCTGCTGATGGGCACTTAGGCAGTTTCCAGATCTTAGCTATGGTGAATTGTGCTGCTATGAACACAGGCATGCATATACCCTTTCTGATTGGAGTTTCTGTTTCCTTGGGATATATTCCTAGTTCTCCCAGCCTCTTGCCAGTTTTACACCCAGGAGTGCCTTTCTCAGGAACCTGGGAGCCACCCTTTGAAATGTCCTCATCAAGGAAGATAGCAGCCCTGTCTCCCAGCTCCGTGGGAGGGCAGGACCTGAACGTGAATAAGTGACAATTAGCAAGCACAGGTGCCTAATGACAGAGACAAACATCTGACTCAGGAATGACACAGGGTGCTGGACACGTCCCATGGACCAAGCTCCCTCTGCTCATCCTCCAGCAACTTCCTTTCCAGGGCTGGAACCCCTTCCCACCTTTTGTTTCCATGGATTGAGCTCAGTCTCTCTCCCCGATTGCCATGGTCTTGAATAAAGTCTCCCGGGCCTATTTAACTTTGACAGGGGACCCCCAGGAACTATGAACACTCACCAGGGCTCTGGACGCTCCCAGGCATAGCCTCCCGCACTCTCATCTTGCCAAATCCCCACCCCTCCCATTAGGCACCACTTCCCCCAAACTGTTTTGCATCCAAATTATTATTCCTGTTTCTCCTGTCACTGCCCAGACTCTCTGTCCGGGGCTGGCCACACAGGTGCGGGTGGAGCCAAGGGCCCTGGGAGTGGAGGCTGCCCCAGGAAGGAGGCTGGGTTCTCGGAAGCCCTAGTGGAGCTTTGGGGGTGTCCACAGTGGTTCCTGATCCACAGGTTGAGGCTGGAAGGGTTGGCAGAGCAACTCATTCTTGGGTGTGAGTGTGTGTGTGTGTGTGTATGTGAGTGAGTGTGTGTGTGTGTGTGTCCGTGTGTGTGGCTGGGCATGTGTGATCTTCAATCTGGTAACCTCCAGATGTTTCGGAGGCTGTGAGATGTCAGATAGAAAGCTCCCCATGGCAGGTAATCAAGTGGAGACCCAGTGATCTAGTCTAAGATGTGCAGGGTCCTGGCATCGACAGAGGGCCATACAACAGGAGCTCCCAGCTCCCTATGAACCCAGAGTTGTTGCTGGTTTTTTGGTAGACACTTTGTAGTAATTAAACTTCTTTTAAAAATATATTTTATTGATTTTTTTACAGAGAGTAAGGGAGAGGGATAGAGAGCTAGAAACATCGATGAGAGAGAAACATGGATCAGCTGCCTCCTGCACACTCCTCACTGGGGATGTGTCCGCAACCAAGATACATGCTCTTGACTGGAATCGAACCTGGGACCCTTGAGTCTGCAGGCCAACACTCTATCCACTGAGCCAAACTGGTCAGGGCAGTAATTAAACTTTTAAAAAATATTTTTTTAAATTATTTCAGAGAGGAAGGGAGAGATAGGAACAGCAATGATGAGAAAGAACCATTGATTGGCTGCCTCCTGCACACCCCACATGGGGGACTGAGCCTGCAACCCAGGCATGTGCCCTGACCGGGAATTGAACCGTGGCCTCCAGGTTCTTAGGTTGATGCTTAACCATTGACCCACGCTAAACTTTAGAAATTAATGAAGAGATTGGGGGAAAGTGAGGATGTTTTGTCATAGCCATTAAGGTGCTTTTTAAAAGGCTTTTTACTGTAGCTACGTTCAAGCACACACAAACATACAGGAAATAGCATACTTCCACACGGACTCATCTTGTGTTATTCTGTCCCCCTTTGGCACTTATGAGGGCACTGAATTGGGTTCCTGCATTATTTTGCTCAAAATATTACTTTCACTTAAAACATCATTTAAAAGTAGGAGATTTTCACCTTGGCCGGGTAGCCCAGATAGTGTCGTCCCATATGCCAAGGTCACGGGCTTGATCCCATTAGGGCACATACAAGAATCAACCAATTATGCATAAATATGGAATGTCTCTCTCTCTCTCTCAATAAATGAAAAAATATGTTAAGAAGTAGATGATTTCCCGCATGCGTGTTTCGATCTATCATTGTCAATCGTGAATTTGGTTGATACTTCTATTATAGAGAAAGGGCAAATAGCGATATTTAAACATTTCTTCTAATTAATTTCCTTTCAATGTGCACGAATTCGTGCACCAGGACACTAGTTATTCATAATAGCCGAAAAGTGGACACAACCAAAATGTCCATCAAAGGACAAAATGTGGTCTATGCACACAATGGAATGTTATTAAGCCATAAAAATGAATTACATATACTAATACATGAATGAACACTGAAAAATGCCAGGCTCAAAAGACCACATATTGTGTGATTTTATTTACATGACATGTCCAGAATAGGCAAATCTATAGAGATAGAAAATGGATTAGTGGTTGTCAGGAGGTGGAAGAAGTAGAAGTGAAGAGGGGCTGACAACAGGTACAGGGTTTCTTTGATGGGTGTGTTGTGTGATAAAACTTTTCAAATTTTAGATTGTTGTGACAGTGGCAAAATTCTGTGGATAGACTAAAAACCATTGATCTGTACTCTTTAAATGAATAAATTGTATCTAATGTGAATGATGTCTCAAGCTGTTAAAAAATAAAAAATAAGATATCTTAAAAAAAAAGAAGTAGATGATTTTCAAAGTGTAAATTTGGCTTATGTTCTAAGATGCAAATCTTTATGAATGTCATGAACAGTTTCTTAAAGGGTGTTGCTGCTGCAACCTCAAATGAATTCTTAGCTAACTTTCTCTTTGCACATTGAACCGTTTCAACTTTATTTTTGATAGATGTTTTTTCAGTATATTCCAACATTTATTAGGAGCTGAAGAGTAGGTGCAGAGCTTGAACGATATGCAAACATTCAGTGGCATGGAACGAAATTTTGGCCGCATTCATCGTTATCCAGTTTAACGAATGTGCAGACCAAGGGTTTGCTCCTCCAGGAAGAGTGACGGAGGCAAGTTAGGAGGTTTTGCCTGGAGTCTCGTCCCCAGAACCAACCACCTATTGGAGCAGGTCTGGCTGTCCTCAACTGCCTGGTGTTGAGTGTCCAAACGGATCTGTTTGAATGCCTTAGAATTTTCTCAAGGATCGTCTATCGTATTCCAGAAGCTTCCACTTTTATGAATACCTCACCTCTTAATGATTTCCCCCCAAGATTCAGTTTGTGTAATCAGGTTCCTAAATGTGTACATCATCTGTCTCCAGTTATACCATCTACTGGACAAATCCCCAGAGTTTACACATAGGAATAGGTGCAACCTGGAAATCTGTCCACCTAGCAATACTTGTTAACTGACCTTTAACTACAAACAGGCTTTGTGCCCAAATAATTGAGAAACACTTAGCATTCCTTACCTTATTTGAAATAAGTTCATTCATTAATCAAACATGCAATATTGTAATGAGTTGTGTTTTTTATTTTATGTGACTGCCTAGATCAGGGGTGGGCAAACTTTTTGACTCAAGGGCCACAATGGGTTCTTAAACTGGACCGGAGGGCCGGAACAAAAGCATGGATGGAGTGTTTGTGTGAACTAATATAAATTCAAAGTAAACATCATTACATAAAAGGGTACAGTCTTTTTTTTTTTTTTTTTAGTTTTATTCATTTCAAACGGGCCGGATCCGGCCCGCGGGCCGTAGTTTGCCCACGGCTGGCCTAGATGATGCCTGACGTTCATTGCTGCCAATCTTTATGTTCTACATAAGTGTTCTCCCACACTTACCACAACGGTGGACTTTTCTTCTGGAACTCTGGTCACTGCCTTGCCAAAACAGAAGTGTGTATATCGTGCACCAATATTTTCTTTTCTTATTTCATATAAACCCTGCCTTTTTCAGATGAGATCTTAAGTGTTTTACAGTTCAGTAGTGTTAAGTATATTCCCATTGTGCAACCAATCTCTAGAACTTTTTCATCCTGCAAAACTGAAATTGCAGACCCGTTGAAAAACAACTTCTCATACTCCCTCCCCCCAGCCCCTGGCAACTATCCTAGAGACCTAAGTGGAATTATACAGTATTTATCTTTTTATGACTGGCTCATTTCATTTAGCATAATGTCTTCAAAGTTCGTCCATGTTGTAGTATGTGCCAGAATTTCCTTCCTTTTAAAGGTTGGATAATATTCCATTGAATGGATATACCACATTTTGTTTGTCCATGCATCCATTAATGTAACATGTGTTGCTCTTACTTCATGGCTATTGTGAATAATGTGCAGTGAACATGGGTGTAAAAATGTCTGTTCAGGACTTTGCTTTTTTAGATCCTAACTTTGCTAATATTTGCTAAGATAATGATAACATTGCACACTATTGAGGATGTGTCCCTTACCTTCTTATTTTCAAACTAAAGGCCCAGTGCATGAAATTCGTGCACTGGTGGGGGTGGGGGGTGGTCCACTCAGCCCAGCCTACACCCTCTCCAATCTGGGATCCCTCTCACAATCCTGGACCGCTGGCTCCTAATTGTTCCCCTGCCTGCCTGCCTGGTCACCCCTAACTGCCTCTGCATGCTGGCCTGGTTGCTCCTAAATGCCCCCCGCCCACTGGCCTGGTCACCCCTTACTACCCCCCCTGCTGGCCTGGTTGCCCCCAACTGCACCTCCCCCACTGGCCTGGTTGCCTCTCATGGTCCACCCCCCCCAACCCCAACCCCAACTCTCCCCCCGCACTGGCCTGGTTGCCCCACGCAGCCTGCTGTTCAGTCGTTTGGTCATCCCTCACTAACCCCCCAGCTGGCCTGGTCGTAGGCAGCCATGTTGTGAGGGCATGTGGGTTAATTTGCATATTACCTCTTTATTATATAGGGTATGTGATCAAAGCTGCCAATCTGTGTGTGGCTCATTGAGGCAAGGCTGACATGGACATTAGTGCTCAGGATTGGGGGAGGAAAGAGAAGGAAGCAGGACTGGGCAGAGGGAGAATGTGGGCTGTGACTCAGTCCCAAAAGGGCCCAGCCCACCCAGGGGGAGCTCTGGCCTGAGTGTCTGCAGCTGAGGCAGTGCCCAAAAGGGCCCAGATGAGAGAAGCAAGTCCTTCATTTCTGAACAGATCTTGGTGGCAAACCACAGCACCCACTACACTCTACTCATTCTCTTTCTCAGTATTTTTTTCCATGTCCACAGATTGAAATAAAGATTGACTACAGGATCCTAGCTGGTGAAATAAAGTTACCTGAATCTGCCGAAACCAGTTTGGCTCAGTGGATGGAGCGTCAGCCTGTGGACTGAAAGGTCCCAGGTTCAATTCCGGTCAAGGGCATGTGCCTGGGTTGTGGGCGCATCCCCGGTGGGGGATGTGCAGGAGGCAGCTGATCGATGTTTCTCTCTCATCGATGTTTCTGGCTCTCTATCTCTCTCCCTTCCTCTCTGTAAAAAATCAATAAAATATATATTAAAAAAAATAAATAAAAAAAAAATAAAGTTACCCGAATCTGATCATTTATTCCCCGGTTGGGAGAATTTGGTGAAACATTTCTGTCTATCGTTATAGGCTTTTGTAAGTTCAATGTTCTTATTTAAAGTGAATCATTTTGAGTTTAAATTTGAGTCAAATATCCAAATCTTCAAAATTTAAGTGTTTAAGAGTCTAA